TTGGATAGACAAAGGAGTTGATTACAAACTGGTTAGGAAGGTGACTAATGGGGACTGTTAGTGACTAACAATAGCTAGTGTGTAATGGCAGGCTATGTGATAACAAGCCTGGTGTGTGGGGTAGAGGGCTAGGACATGGGAGAGTTTAGGCCCTAAAATTATTGAACTCGATTTCGAGTCCTGAGGGCTGCAGAGTCCCCAAGCGGAAAATGAGGTGTTGTTCATCCAGCTTGTGTTGAGCTTTGCTGGAACACTGCAGCAAGCTAGAAGCAGAGATGTTGGCCTCTGCAAAGTGGTCACCCAGTCTACACTTCGTTTCCCCAATGTAGGGGAGACCACATTGTGAGCTGCGAATGCAGTAGACTTGATTCTGGGAAGTGCAAGTGAAGTGTTGCTTCACCTGGAAGGTATGTTTGATCCCTTGGATAGTGGGGAAGGAGGAGGTAAGTGGGCAGGTATTACACCTTCCCGGAGGGAACAGTCCCTGCAGAAGGTGGACAATGGAGGGGAGTGGAATATGTGTCTGGTAGTGGCATCTCGCTGGTGGTGGCAGAAATGGCGTCTAATGATCTTCTGGATGTGGATGCTGGTAGGATTACTTGAAATGTATTTAGAATAGTCTTAACTCAGCTCCTGGTAGTCAATGTGGTAGGATAGGAGGATCTTTTGGCAAGATCACTCAGAGATGTCTTAAGGATGGCAGGAGTATGAAATGGAAAAGGAAAATCACAGGAGAGTTTTGTTTTGAAGATGGACAAAGAAATGTTATGGACAGAAGAAGATAAAAATATGCTGAATTCAGCCCATGTTCAGCTAATGGGTTAAGTAGTTAAAATTCAAATTTACACAAAATCCTTTCAACTAATTTAGCTTATTGCATTTTTAAAATGTCGTGATAAAATGTTGTGATAACTCTGTAAATTGTATTATCAACTTCACAGGACTAAAATAAAACAACTAAATACAATCACATTGAAAATATCCTTACTGAACCAGCTGCACAACGCAAGTAGTCCATTTCATCAGGAAACACATTTCCCAGATAAACTGAAAAGCCAACAGCAATCAGGAGGCAACTCTGTAACACAATATTCAAAAAAAACATTTTTTTTCTATAATGCAATACCACCCTACTGTAACCTTCATATCATCCTGATACACATTGATTCTATGCTAATTTCAGAAATATACAACACCCTGCTATAGGTTGTAACTCTTCTCCCACAAAAACCTTAATTTAAAAATTGCTACAAGATTTGAATTTTTCCTGCATTAAGACTTATCTTTCATTAGTCAACTTATTGTGAATGTTAGTCTCTCATCTGTTATTTCTTACATGCTATTTCAATCAATAAAAATCTCATACATTATTTGTATCTCAATTACAATTCCTTTTCTTAGTAAAGCATACACAAAATGACAAACTTACAAATAAGAATCAATTTGAGGTTTCTAATCAATAGTTCTTTTCTTAGTATTGTTTACATTTGCAAAAAAAAGGCTCATTTACCCCAATCATCAGATTGTAGATCCATCCCCTGTGATGAAAACAAGTATGAAGTTTTCTATCTTGCTGAGGCTCACTGGATTTAAAGTCCGCAACGTAATTTCCATTACTCTGTTTTACCCGTTCCAATGTAGATATTTTATCATAGCTAAAATCTTCTTTATAGTTGACTTCTTTTGTCATTTTCCTTTTTGGTACAACGGAAAGTTGTTAGTAATAGATATGTGACAGTTTATTTTGAGCAAGTAAGTAGTTGTCTCAAAGGAAAGCGCACTACAGTTTGAAGAGCAAAAATGCAAGTGACAGCAGTCTCAATGTTGTGCAGTGAGGCACTGTATTCGTACAAAAAGCTCCAGAAGATTTTACAGTGCAGTGAGCTTCCTTTGAAAAGTTTGCTCATCAACATTAGCTTTGGGCATAATCCATTCAAGTCCCAAACAAAGCTGCAGCTAAGAAACAGTGAATTAAAGCCAAAGGAGTGGAGTGCATCCTGAATTTAAATGAGCAGAAGAGATTAGAACAGGACCTCCACTGAGTAACTTCTAAACTTTGCGAAAACACAAATGTAATGGAGAAGGAAACCATAGGAGAGAAGAAGGATGTTTATCTATGTTTTGTATACAGTATGTATATCTCCACAATTTGAACACGGATATTTTGCCTGAGAAACATGATTATAGTCATTTTGCGCTGTCTGTGTTAGTTACTAAATGGTCACTCATGCAAAACACATCTTTGTTGAACACTATGGTGATTAATGCCCATACAGAGAAAGACAAAAGCATGGTTTGCTTGGGATTTTCTTGCCATTTAGGAAATGTTCTTTTGAATGTTGTTCTGATGGAAAACTACCTTCTATTTCTACTATTCTCAATTCCATTCCCTTACCACTGCTTCAGAAATGTTTTCATTTGTTTAAGTTGTGGTGTTTTATTGGAAAAATTAGTGCTTTGAGAATATAATCTTGCGTAATAGAAACGCCAATCAACCCGTTTTTTTAGGCAATTCTTGGAATCTTGACCTAAATTACAGGAATACGTGAAACAATTTATATACATTTTGAACTGCCATACTGATTATTGGCTACTGAATACTGGATCAACTTTCTAAGTAATGAAGTGGACTAAGTGCAGAATCTCACAGTGGTGAAGCGTCTCAGGCACAGTAATCATATTGGAGTTTTAATTAGGTATGTAGAAGGACAAAGAGCAACATTGAATAAAAATATCTAACTAAAGGAGGCTTATTCTCAACAAATTGAGGAAGAATCTGGTCTAAGTAAATTGGAGTCAAATACTGGAAAACAGAAATCTAACTGAGTAATTTAAAGAGAAGGTAGTTAGAATACATTTAGAGTAATTTGTCAAAAGAGAGAATGAAAGGGCAAACAAAGTCACAGCTCTCTGGATAATAAATGTATTAGAGAGTAGGATGATGCAGATAAAGGGGTGTATGAGAGATCTTAGTTTGATAATACAGGGAAGAATCAGGTTGGATAGAATCCCTGCAGTATGGAAGCAGGCCATTCGGCCCATCATGTCCACACCAACCCTCCAAACAGTATCCCACCCAGACTCACCCCCTATCCTATCCCTATAACCCTGCCTTTCCCATAACTCACCTAGCCTGCACATCGCTGCACATTATGGGCAATTTAGCATGGCCAATCCACATAACCTGCACATCTACTTGTATGTAAAACATAGAAAAGAAATGTGAAAAAGGAAATAAGGGAAGAAAAATAGACAGGAAGGAAATAGGTCAGCAGCCAATGCAAAAAGAAACCTTAGCAATTTTCTATTGTTAGATAACAAAGTGTAGAGCTGGATGAACACAGCAGGCCAAGCA